GAATAAAAGAAGCACTAAAATCATAGAAAAGAGGGCAAGGAGTAAGATATTATTTAAAAAAAAAGACACCTAATTGCAAGGTACTAAAAACGAGACTGGATAATTTTTATAAAGAAGAAAAGGCGAGAGGTATAATGAGTAAAGACATGTAACAATTTATTCATTTAGACTCGAATAAAAGAAGGAGTAAAATCATAGAAAAGAGGGCAAGGAGTTACATATTATTTAAAAATAAAGACAGGTAAATGCAAGGAACTAAAAACGGGGTTGGGTAATTTTTAAAAAAAGGAAAAAGCGAGAGGTTTAATAACTAAAAAAATGCTACAATTTATTTATTTAAAATCGAATAAAAGAAGGACTAAAATCATAGAAAAGAGGGCAAGGAGTAAAATATTATTTAAAAATAAAGACAGCTAAATGCAAGGAACTAAAAACGGGGCTGGATAATTTTTAAAAAATGGAAAAAGCGAGAGCTATAATGAGTAAAAAATGCTACAATTTATTTATTTAGACTCGAATAAAAGAAGGACTAAAATCATAGAAAAGAGGGCAAGGAGTAAGATGTTATTTAAAAATAAAGACAGCTAAATGCAAGGAACTAAAAACGGGGCTGAATAAATTTAAAAAAAAGGAAAAAGCAAGAGGTTGAATAAGTAAAAAAATGCTACAATTTATTTATTTAAACTCGAATAAAAGAAGGACTAAAATCATAGGAAAGAGGGCAAGGAGTAAAATATTATTTAAAAATAAAGACAGCTAAATGCAAGGAACTAAAAACGGGGCTGAATAAATTTAAAAAAAAGGAAAAAGCAAGAGGTTTAATAAGTAAAAAAATGCTACAATTTATTTATTTAAACTCGAATAAAAGAAGGACTAAAATCATAGGAAAGAGGGCAAGGAGTAAAATATTATTTAAAAATAAAGACAGCTAAATGCAAGGAACTAAAAACGGGGCTGAATAAATTTAAAAAAAAGGAAAGGGCAAGAGGTTAAATAAGTGAAAAAATGCTACAATTTATTTATTTAAACTCGAATAAAAGAAGGACTAAAATCATAGAAAATAGGGCAAGGAGTAAGATATTATTTAAAAATAAAGACAGGTAAATGCAAGGAACTAAAAACGGGGTTCGATAATTTTTAAAAAAAGGAAAAAGCGAGAGGTTTAATAACTAAAAAAATGCCACAATTTATTTATTTAAACTCGAATAAAAGAAGGACTAAAATCATAGAAAAGAGGGCAAGGAGTAAAATATTATTTAAAAATAAAGACAGCTAAATGCAAGGAACTAAAAACGGGGCTGGATAATTTTTAAAAAAAGGAAAAAGCGAGAGGTTTAATAACTAAAAAATGCTACAATTTATTTATTTAGACTCGAATAAAAGAAGGACTAAAATCATAGAAAAGAGGGCAAGGATTAAGATATTATTTAAAAAAAAAGACAGCTAAATGCAAGGAACTAAAAACGGGGCTGAATAAATTTAAAAAAAAGGAAAAAGCAAGAGGTTTAATAAGTAAAAAAATGCTACAATTTATTTATTTAAACTCGAATTTAAGAAGGACTAAAATCATAGGAAAGAGGGCAAGGAGTAAAATATTATTTAAAAATAAAGACAGCTAAATGCAAGGAACTAAAAACGGGGCTGGATAATTTTTAAAAAAAGGAAAAAGCGAGAGGTTTAATGAGTAAAAAAATGCTGCAATCTATTTATTTAGACTCGAATAAAAGAAGGACTAAAATCATAGAATAGAGGGCAAGGAGTAAGATATTATTTAAAAATAAAGACAGGTAAATGCAAGGCACTAAAAACGGGGCTGGATAATTTTTAAAAAAAGGAAAAAGCGAGAGGTTTAATGAGTAAAAAAATGCTGCAATATATTTATTTAGAGTCGAATAAAAGAAGGACTAAAATCATAGAAAAGAGGGCAAGGAGTAAGATATTATTTAAAAATAAAGACAGGTAAATGCAATGCACTAAAAACGGGGCTGGATAATTTTTAAAAAAAGGAAAAAGCGAGAGGTTTAATGAGTGAAAAAATGCTACAATTTATTTATTTAGACTCGAATAAAAGATAGACTAAAATCATAGAAAAGGGGGCAAGGAGTAAGATATTATTTAAAAATAACGACAGCTAAATGCAAGGCACTAAAAACGGGGCTGGATAATTTTTAAAAAATGGAAAAAGCGAGAGGTTTAATAGGTAAAAAAATGCTACAATTTATTTATTTAGACTAGAAAAAAAGATAGACTAAAATCATAGAAAAGGGGGCAAGGATTAAGATATTATTTAAAAATAAAGACAGCTAAATGCAAGTCATTTAAAACGGGGCTGGATAAATTTTAAAAAACGAAAAAGCGAGAGGTTTAATAGGTAAAAAAATGCTACAATTTATTTATTTAGACTAGAAAAAAAGATAGACTAAAATCATAGAAAAGGGGGCAAGGATTAAGATATTATTTAAAAATAAAGACAGCTAAATGCAAGGCATTTAAAACGGGGCTGGATAATTTTTAAAAAAAGGAAAAAGCGAGAGGTATAATAGGTAAAAAAATGTAACAATTTATTTATTTAGACTCGAATAAAAGAAGGACTAAAACCATCAAAAAGAGGGCACGGAGTTACATATTATTTACAAATAAAGACAGTTAAATGCAAGGCACTAAAAACGGGGCTGAATAATTTTTAAAAAAAGGAAAAAGCGAGAGGTATAATGAGTGAAAAAATGTAACAATTTATTTATTTAGACTCGAATAAAAGAAGAAATAAAATCATAGAAAAGAGGGCAAGGAGTAAGATATTATTTAAAAATAAAGACAGGTAAATGCAAGGTACTAAAAACGGGGCTGAATAATTTTTAAAAAAAGGAAAAAGCGAGAGGTTTAATGAGTAAAAAATGTAACAATTTATTTATTTAGACTCGAATAAAAGAAGGACTAAAATCATAGAAAAGAGGGCAAGGAGTAAGATATTATTTAAAAATAAAGACAGGTAAATGCAAGGTACTAAAAACGGGGCTGGATAATTTTTAAAAAAAGGAAAAAGAGAGAGGTATAATGAGTGAAAAAATGTAACAATTTATTTATTTAGACTCGAATAAAAGAAGGAATAAAATCATAAAAAAGAGGGCAAGGAGTAAGATATTATTTAAAAATAAAGACAGGTAAATGCAAGGCACTAAAAACGGGGCTGGATAATTTTTAAAAAAAGGAAAAAGCGAGAGGTATAATGAGTAAAAAAATGTAACAATTTATTTATTTAGACTCGAATAAAAGAAGGACTAAAACCATAAAAAAGAGGGCACGGAGTTACATATTATTTAAAAATAAAGACAGGTAAATGCAAGGACTAAAAACGGGGCTGGATAATTTTTAAAAAAAGGAAAAAGCGAGAGGTATAATAGTAAAAAAATGTAACAATTTATTTATTTAGACTCGAATAAAAGAAGGACTAAAATCATAAAAAAGAGGGCAAGGAGTAAGATATTATTTAAAAATAAAGACAGGTAAATGCAAGGACTAAAAACGGGGCTGGATAATTTTTAAAAAAAGGAAAAAGCGAGAGGTATAATAGTAAAAAAATGTAACAATTTATTTATTTAACTCGAATAAAAGAAGGACTAAAACCATAAAAAAGAGGGCACGGAGTTACATATTATTTAAAAATAAAGACAGGTAAATGCAAGGTACTAAAAACGGGGCTGGATAATTTTTAAAAAAAGGAAAAAGCGAGAGGTATAATAGTAAAAAAATGTAACAATTTATTTATTTAGACTCGAATAAAAGAAGGACTAAAATCATAGAAAAGAGGGCAAGGAGTTACATATTATTTAAAAATAAAGACAGGTAAATGCAAGGCTAAAAACGGGGCTGGATAATTTTTAAAAAAGGAAAAAGCGAGAGGTATAATAATATAAAAATGTAACAATTTATTTATTTAGTCTCGAATAAAAGAAGGACTGACATCATAGAAAAGAGGGCAAGGAGTTACATATTATTTAAAAATAAAGACACCTTAAAGCAAGGCACGAAAAAGGGGCTGGATAATTTTAAAAAAGGGAAAAGCGATAGGTTTAATGAGTGAAAAAAAGATCATTATCAATTGGTTTTAAAATCTAATAAAATGCAATGCACTATATGCAAGGTACAAATAAAGGAGTTTTATTATTTGTTAAATATGGGAAAGTGAGAGATATAATCAGTGAAATAAATTTTGAATATTGATGATTCTGGAATCCAATTTTCTTGCAATCAAAGGCTTGTCAGTTTCTTTTATTAAGGGTCAAGAGACAGATACAAAAAGTGAACTTTTGGGAAAAGCAACACATCAGGGAAAAAAAATTCAGTTTAACTGAATTGAGTCTCAAGTTTTCTATTGTTATTTTACATGTTCTTGCATAGCTCATTGTTGCTTGAAAATCCGTGGCAGTAAGTAGGATGTGACTAAACAAAACTAAATTGAACAGTTTATTTTGGGTCTAAAGCTTACGTGACTGTGAAGGGTAGCCTGACTTTAATTGGAATGACTTTAAGTGGAGTCAACTGTATATTGTTACACATTTAATCTTAGAACCCTAAGTTTTCTGATAAAAAAAATTCTTTTTAGTCAGTGCATACTTTGAGGTCAGGAACAAATGACCCCCACCCCCTTATTCATCATTTGGCTAAAAAGGACATATGGAAATGATACTGTATTATTTTAAATTTCAAATTTTCATTGAGGTTCCCATAATTGAATTGCTGAGATAGGGACAAAATTTGTTTATAAATACTAATCATGGATGTAGACCCCCTGGTTTTAGTGATCAAATTCTAATTAAGGATGTATACCACCCAGGTTCATCAAAACCCCTCAATTATCAAATTGTTTAATTGGCCTTCACCCCCTGTTTTTTCCCAGGGCCCCCTATTCCCAGCCTCAGAGTAATGATATCACAACACAAAAACAGAAAAAACAAACATTTTAAAGGCCACTTCACTCGAATGGTGAGTAGCAGGGGAGATTGGCTCGCTTTCCAGGGTAGATATCAAATACTTGAACAGCACTTTTTTGAGGTTCAAGGATGGCTGGTGCTTTTCAGATCTTTAGAGGTTGGGTGCTGCTAAAAAAATATTCTTAAACAGCAGCAGCCTTATCACTCATTTTCACTTAATCCCATTTCGAATAGATTAAGTCATCATCGGGCTAATTGAGTCAATTAGTCAATCCTTCAACTGAAAAGGTAGAAAGAAAAATGAACTCGGCATTTCAAGGTATGTCTGCATTGCTGGTCAAGTGTGTAGTGTGGTAGACAATAACAAATTTTGCAAATCATTAAACCTATATTTATAAAAATCGCACTTGAATTTAGGAAACACAAAGGTAATTTTTAAACTTAATTAACATTAGTATAGCAAACAAGTTGAAATAACAATAGTTATAGAAAAAAGTACCTTGGAATCAGAGAATTTTTGGGCATATCCGTCTATCCAGCCATGTGAGCCATGTGCTCCGACAGCCATTTTTGATCGCAAATGAGATGTAAACGAGAACGAGATTATTCTTGGAATTTGAGACTTTTCTCTGAGGGGGTGTATCCTTCATTCAAAGAAGAGCCTTGAGTGTGAAAATTTGCACCAGCGTTGTCTAAACGTTTTATATTCAGTAAGAAAATGTGTTTGAAATACCGATCTAAGAAGTAGGTTCGCTATTTACTTAGAGGCAGTTCTATGTTGTACAGATTTTAGAAGAAGTAGGGTCGGCCCAAAGCAAACTTTTTGGTAAAACGCCTTTTTAACTTCTAAGGGTCTCCCATTTGGCAACAATATAATGTCCTATCATTACAAACTTATTTTTCTACTGTGTATCCTTACACAACTGACTTTAATAATTTTTTAATTTGGTGGGCAATATTTTGACTAAAGGTAGAGAGAAAGATTTGGACAAAAGGTAGAGAGGAAGATTTGGACAAATATAAGAGAGAAAGATTTGGACAAAGGGTGGAGAGGAAGATTAATACAAAGGGTGGAGAGGAAGATTTGGACAAAAGTAAGGGAGGAAGATTTGGTCAAAAGGTAGAGAGAAATATTTGGACAAAGGGTGGAGAGGAAGATTTGTACAAAAGTAAGTGTGGAGGATTAGGACAAATATAAGAGTGGAAGATTTGGACAAAAGGTGAAGAGGAAGAACTGGACAAAAGTAAGGGAGGAAGATTTGGACAAAAGTGAGAGAGGAAGATTAGGACAAAAGTTAGAGGGGGAGACTTGGACTAAAGGTAGAGAGAAAGATTTGAACAAAGGTAGAGAAAAAGATTTAAACAGAAGGTAGAGAGGAAAATTTGAACAAAAGGTAGCGAGGAAGGTTTGACAAAAGGTAGAGAGGGAGATTTGGATAAAAGGTTGAATCTTATATAATAACTTTTTAAAGAATACAATTTCGAAATCGGTTAGAAATGCTCTTTGGATAGAGCAACGACAGTAAGAGAAAAAGTAATCACTATAGTTTTGCTCTATAAGCCATCATTAACAAGCTTATGCTCTTTACTTCGGATATTATAAAGCAATAAATGAATGAAAACCCTTTATTCAGTGTCTCATTACGTTAGTAAATGGTATCTTAGAAAAGTCAGATTTCAGTGAATTATTAATAGCAAATGTATTCGGTCTTATTGGTCGAAATAGAATGTCTTCTTCAAGTTCAAGAACACATGCAGTGAGTTTTGGGACAGAATGCCGGACAATTCTGGCGACACCACGTGTCCATACCTGCAACAGATGTGTATGCCCCAGCTGCCCTGCAAATTTTTGGCTGTGGTAGGCCAGGGTTGGTTGTCGAAGTGCAGATGCAATGGGATTTTGGGCAGTTCAAAGGGCAGTTCATCTTGCACCACCAATCATATGCACCAATACTCGCGTACCTTCCTGTAGCTTTACATTTATCACCGGGAATCGTCGGCATTGTTGGCTTGATAGTACTAGGGACGGGCTTTGGTCTTGCTGTCGTTGTCTGGATTCTCGTTTGTGGCAAGGTCGCTTCTTGAGTGGTGCTGGTAATTGGTTTCTTGGTCGAAGGCTTTGTTTGCATAGTGGGTTGTGTCACACCGCCATTACTGACTATTCTCACATCTGCACAATTGACAAATGTCTCCTAGAAAGACGACCAGGATAAATGTGTACTTCAATTTAATTATAATGACAATTTTACACCACTTCTACAAAGCGTGTCTCTCATTGTTTTAGATCTTTGTTATGGGAATATCAAGAACCTCCCGCCCTATATTAAAGTCGTTATGCACATTTTAGCTATGAATTAACCTTAGAAAATATCGACACCCAAAATTGGTGAAATCTAGGAATTGTAGAATGATAGCCAGGCTTGAAGTATGGATTTTTATCTATCTGGGTTTTTGAGCAAACAAACAAAACAAGATTGACTTTCCTTCACAAAAAAGTGCGAGGAACACTCGTCAAAGTTTTATTGTGGTAGCAATTTTGGGTTCCTAAAATGATTTCATTATCAAGAAAGACAGTAAGAAAAACTTAACTCCCCGTTTTTTACAACACTTACACGTTGGATCGATCAGAAATTTAAAATCATAGAAATTAAGAAAAATTCTAGGTATTCTCGAATAAAACGTTAAGTTGCGGGTTATTTTTTTTATTGATTCAAATTCGGGAACTGCCTGAAGCCCTAAAGTAAGAGAATAAATTTTGCCAATTCTGGAAATGCAAATTTAACGCCAAGCCTTGAATTTGATTGTTAAAAACAGGGAGTGCTTCAAAACAATATTTTCTAACAGTATCCTGAAACTATATCAATGGCATTATTTGAACCAAACATGAAGATTTTGCAAGTGGTGTTCGACAGACCATTTAGAAAGAGATACGTCGCTCTAATTATAGTATTCTGTTCTCGCATATCTAGGCCTGATATCTTTTATCCCAAGTATCATGTTTTAAAATATGTTGTTTTTTGATAAAATGTAAAAGCAAATATTTGTTGACATTAGAACGAACAAAAACATTCAGTCTCCTGCTAATAAGAACGTTTACAGAATTTCTTTCACCTCCCACGATATTTCGGCACGAACAAAATATTAGAAAAACAGGAATTCGTTTGTTTATGATACAAGCTTAATTGATGAAAGGAAGGAGTAGGTCCATAGAATAAATACAGATCATCCCACAAACAAACTATTGATAGCAGCAAAGATGTTGAACAACAACGTTTTGCACTTAGAATTAAGTAGGTTGCTGCTTTTGTGGGATGGTATACTAACATAATATCGAGGGCAGATCAAAGCATAGCATTGAAGCATTGACACAAAAATGAGCTACTTGCCATGATCCTAGTTCATTTGTTCTAATTATATTTCGCTTCCTAGAATCTATGTTTTGGTAAAAAAAACCTTCAATAAATGATGTCCAAAAACAGTGGTTTATTATGGAACAACGATTAGGACGAGTAGCATTGGTTCTTTATTCTCTGAAATGCAACGTTTTCAGAGGATTTCGAACTTTGCAAACTAAGCGAATCTAACAGTTGCATAGATAGGGTTTTATGTGTAAAGCCTACACCCTATGTTAGTTTAATTCCACACATCTGCTAAATAAGAAATAGTAAGTTTAAACCTACACCCTCAACTCAAAATAGTACGAAAATTGTACCTGAGCTCCCTTTCCAACACCTGAACCAGTGGCTCCTGTGCCCCAGCTGTTGCCTGCAGTGTACCACCAACGAAATACGCAATGCGCGCATGTTAAAGATGCTGGTAACTGCAGCGAGACGTCAAAAAATCCACTTTTAGACCCCTCTGGGAGGTAGTATCTTGTACCAGTGGTCCCTGCTATCTTTAGAAGATGGTTCAGCTTTTCTTCCGTAACGGGAGGAGTACCAATATCGCCGACTTTGAACGTAAAATAACCTTTGTGGTTTGCTGTTATTTGAACCTTCACGTTGACAATTTGTCCCTGCTTGTAGGTTCTGGTAATGATATTGTTGGCGTATTTACCAGGAAAGACGTGGGGCTGCGACTTGCCGTATGGATCACCGCAAACACCGCATTTCCCGCCATTATTGTTCCAATGGTAGGAAAACCCACCACAGTTGAGCTGGTTATCGCTGTAGTTTGGAGGATTTGAAAATCCGTATCTCCACATAGCATTACGACTTGGTGGATCAACCAAACGCCCATGACCATTCACAGCGACCGTGCAGAGTCCAAAAAGGGCAAATGACAAAACCAGTTCCATATTGTTGCTTTGAAACCTTATTTAAAATCTCCAGTAACAGTTCTCAACTAGTTAGCAAAGGACACTTGCTAACTAAAGGTTGATGGTGTTGTTCAATACTTGTTATTTTTAAAGCATCGGTTTCCAAAACACTCAGCTGTTTTTAAATAGCAACATGAAAATAAGATGAACCGTGCCATGTTGTGTTGAGAAGCCTGGGATCTAGTGCAGCCCACACAATTCTAGAAGAGCAGTCAGGGGTATTAGAATAACCATTGATGGAATATCTGCTTGAGGAACCATGATGATAAGTTCAGATTGCCGAGAGCCTATTCAGACCGCGATGTACAAATATAGATATAAGATACGCACTGCCTATACAATAATCAAAGCATCATCCATTCCCAGGGCCTTACTGTATACATGGTATAGTTCACAAACAAATTTTCTCGTTCTTTAAGTGACTATTTCGTTATGTTATTTGCTATAAAAAACCTCATTATTTTGACCAATAATTAAGCTACATCGGAAATCAAACGCTAAATAAAGTGATTAAAAATCAACCCTACCTTTCAACGCTCCTTGTTTCTTCTTTTAAAATTTTTGGGTAAATCTCCTTCCTTTAGGACTATCTTTTGTTACCAGCATATTTTTTAGATGGGAGGGGAGATGGGATTAAATATGTGTAACAAGGACCTTTGCTCGGCATTGTGGCAACTTTACAGCCAGCATTTTAAAAGAACCCGAAACTCTTTAATTATTTAGTAAACAACTGCATTCAAAAACAATGCCCGTCATCAGAACTTCACGAGATTTGAGTACAAAATTGTTATTTTTGCGATTCAGTCATATTCAGGGATATGTTGGAATATCAAACACATGAAAGAAAAAAGTTTGTACGAGAAGAAAAAAACAGAGAGAACAAGACTTATTTCACTTGTTGTTCAAAATTGACAACAATTTATGGTTGAGTACAGACAACACATAATGCAAATGGAAAATCTAATAATTTAAATAAATACTTAATGCAGTTACCACAAAGTGCAATCGTAATAAATTAGGGAAGTTCTGTTACAGGTCCGTTACTTCGTGAGCATCTTCAGCTGCAAATGCAGTGGGTCACTGGGCAGTATGCAGGACAATTGGATTGGCACCAGACGTCTATTGTCTTCTGACCTGCATAAGCTCCGGCTGATCGACAGTTTTGAACTTGTGGCTGGGGTATTGGTAGCTTTGGAGCGGGGGCTGGGTTTGGATTCGGAGCGGGGGCTGGATTTGGCGCAGGTTTGGGTTGACTTGGTGGAATAGGGGGCACAGGTCCCATTGGAACAGAGCCATCACCATTTACGATGCTGACATCAGCACAATTAATGAAAGTCTCCTGTTGAAGCAAAATCATCATAATAATTGGTCATGCTAGAGACAAAAATGAAGGAAAATGCTACATAAAATATACTCGCAAAATCGAAGAAAAGAGATGGCGGAAAGAGAAAGGAATATTTAAGAGAAAGAGGAAAAACTATACTTAAATGAAACGTTTAGTTCCCTAGATACAGTAACGTTTGATTATATTAAAGTATGCAAACATCAGCACTGGCCATAGTGAAGATTCTGTGAACATTGGAAAATTTATGGGGTAACATAGGAATTAAGAATTCTGATTCCTGCATATATATTCTGATCCCTCCAGTACTAAAGACTAAGTTCAATCACTCGTAATTTCAAAATGTGAGAGCAAAAACATTGGAGATCACAGCTTTAAAAAGCGACTTTTTACCTGATTTCCATGGCCAGCCCCTGCCCCACCTGTGCCTGTTCCCCAGTTATTACCAGCAGTGTACTTCCAACGAAGCACACACTGTCGACACACTAAGTTCATTGGCAGCTGCAAGGAAACGGTGAAAATCTCGTTCATCGAACCTGCGGGCAGATAGTACCTCGTAGCAGCAGTGCCAGCTACAGTGAGCTCGTGACTAAGCTTCTCTTCCGTGATTGGTGGGTTGCCGATATCACCAATTCTGAAGGTAAAATAGCCCTTATGGTTGGCTGTAAGTTCCACCTTGACGGTGATTACCTGCCCCTTTTTGTATGTTTTTGAAATGATGTTGTTGGCGTACTTTCCAGGGTAAACATGCATTTGTTCTTTGCCAAAGGGATCACCACACACCCCACATTTGCCATCATTGTTCCACTGAAAAGAGAATCCACCACAGTTTAACTCGTTGTCGTTGTAATTGGGTGGGTTTGGAAAATTGTATCTCCACATTGAATTTCTAGCTGGTGGGTCGATGAGCCTTCCATGGCCGGTGATGACGTCAACAAGCCAACAAGTGACAAACGCGAACAAAACGTGAAAGCAATGCATGATTAGAAGCTCTTCCTCACAAACTCGGCATCAAATGAACTATTTTTGAGCAAGTGAGCTGTCTTTTACTGCATTTATAATGTCAAAGCTGGGGAACATGCCAAAATTGACAATGTAACGGAGGCACACAATAAGACGGGGGAAGATAACATTATGGGGACAAAAAGGATCAATTCGTTTCATTGTTACCTACTTCAAAAATATATATATTTCAATGCTAAGGCCCCAAAACAGCATGACGATGCATGCACAGTAGAAAGGGTTTTCCTAACGTCATATACACAATACGGATTTCCTTTCGAGAAATTAGTATATCAATCCCATAAAAGGGATAATGTTTGAATGGGATATGCCATGGCCGAAACTAGGTAATTGTAGATTGAAATAACAGTAACAGGATGATAATGTAGATAAAACGTGGCCGGCTTGGCCGATAATTCAATAAGATATTGAATTGACTGAAGAAAAGGCTCTTTTAGAGATTGAATTGAATTGGTAAACCCTTTATAGAGAATCTTTAGCCATATCATTTTGTATAGAGGTACCCAAATAAGCGGTGTGGAAATATCTACGAAAATTGTAAATGTGCCAGGCTGTGATAAGAATGCGAATTGACCACAACACTGTCATCTCATCAAAAATTGCAGGCTACTACTATACAGAATACCTTAGAATATCTTTATTGATATCCGTCTGTGATACAGAAAACTTTGTTAAAATTACTTCTTTACAGTTCGGAAAATGGAATTTAATGTTATGTTTAACAAAAATAAGGAAATTAAAGCGTATTGCTTATTGGTGAATTATGCATGAACTGGGCCTGAAACAAAAGACAACCTTTTCATGTTCCTACACACCTCCAAATGCAAGTAAAAAGCCAACAGGCGTTCCAAATTGATTGAACTTCACCGTAATGATAAATCTACATAATAATTTTCCCAAATAAACCAGACTTTACTCATTCACATTGTTAGCTGCAATTGATCCTATGATTTTCTTCAAGTCTGGACTGAATATTTATAAACTAATCATGGCACGAATAAAACAGCTTTTGAGAATTTTTGAAGTTTCTCAAACATCGAAATTGTGAGCCAGACGCTTGATTCTTAGACCTACATTCGGTAAGGTAATTCTTCTGTGACTTGGCTTGACGGAGGAATACCAGATAAAATGTCACTAAGAAAACCATTAGTTCTTAAAACCCAGTTTCGAGGGCAGGTTTATATTCAAAATAAACAAAGCACGTCTACAATAAAGGTTGAGTTTATTGTTTGACAGATTCTTAACTGAACAAGTTGGGGAACTAGATTGTCTAAAAAGAAATGTAAACAGGCCAGTCCACAGTCAGTTTTCCATCCATGAAAAGATACAGCAATGAAAATGCAATCTCTGATGGGCTCTTCACCAATATACGGTGCAGGGATATCTTTTATGGTGTCTCTTGTCACAGAATGACGTAAAGCAGCCAGGCGTTAAAAGCATTAGATACCAGTTGACCAGAAGTCTGCTTGTCACGTGACTCGCTCCAGGCCTTTGCAATCGTGCGTTTCATTTCATCATCACCATCGTCATACATCTGTTTCATCATTTTCATTATGCTCGATGATGGATCCTCGTCTTTGTCCAATTTTGGTGTTCTTAAAATAACAAACTCAAATATAAGTTCTTTTGTGTGGATTTATTTCTACCATGAGATACCAATTATAGGCTATTGATGACAAATCTTAACATTTATTGCAATTCCTGATAAAACTATTACCCATGAAATCAGTTAATGTATGATTGTTAATTGTCATGACATTTCATTTGCTTAGGTCTTCTCGAAGATAAGGTCTTTTAGGGGGAAATAACTCTATGACATTAGATTGAAATTTCAAAGCAATTCTTGATACAAAAATATTATCTGACATCGTCACCAAAGGCTTATAAAATTACTTTAGGTCTTGTGAAAATAAATACAAAATAAATTTTCATCCAATTTTTTCTTTAGTTAATAAATTAAGTTTATCATTTTGGAACACAATCAACTCTAATAGGCTTCAAGACTTACTTCAGGTCAGAAGTGCTTTTCTCTGTTTTTGTTAAATGTGTCCAATTTTTCGCCACCGCTTTTTTCAATGTAACAATTATATTTCCAGACTTTGCCTGAAGCAAATAAAAACAGATATCAGCAAAGTAGGATTTTTCATCTTTAATGGCTTAGATGAAAATAAAATTTCATGACACGGTAACTCTACATGATAAAATATATACCTTTGAAACTTTGAAAGATATGTAATGTTCATTGGGAGGGGGGTTGAGGACTGCATCTCTTCTTTTTATAGGAAACAGATGTCCTTATTATTCCATGACAGAGTCCTGAGAAGGGATTGACCACCCTCCATCATCTCCTCCAAGCCTGCCTCAATGCACCACCCTCCTTAATTCCCTCCAAGCCTGTCTTCTCAAACATTAACATTGTTACGACAATATACATCCATTAAAATAAAATCTCCATAACGTTATATAGAAGCAAAAACAAGCAGATCATCGTCCTCAAACATTAGAGGACAGATTAAAATTTGGTACAGTTTACTTTAGGCTCTTGTAGTAAAAAAATCTGACTCCAAGGTTGACATTAAAAATGAAAGCAAAGTAGATCGATCGTTTCCAGTGAATGAATTCACTTGTAATTATGCGAGAAATTATTTTGGGAGGATATATGATTGAGGGGTTTGAGGGTCATCCATAGCAAAACTTACTGGTGGGATAAATGATTTACTAACAAACTAACGATTTTCTGGACCAGCTAAAGATTTACCAACCAACTTGCAGAAAACGGGTGGGAGGGAAGAGGGCTGTCACACCCCTTACATACCCCGCTGGCTTTGCCCCCATAAAAAGAACACAATAACTATCTTAGGTCTTACCTTGAAAGAAGAGCCTGCTGGGTCAATGGGCTCCAAGAGTTTCTTTATATTAAATTGGTGATTCTTTTTATCCAAGTTCATGACCAAAAGGTCAACGGACTCTGCTGTTAGATCCAGTTGTATACTCTCTTTTGGTAAATTTCAACTCCTTTTAGTGATATGTAGATTTTCACCGCTTTGTCACTTTGGTCCCAACCTGGTAAATAACATATTGGGTTATGCATTTTTTGATACAATAGAAAATGGAAAATATGAGACATTTGTGCAACTTTAACTAGAAAAATTACTTTGGCATTTTTTATCAGAGTTATTGCTAAATTAACAAAGGATTGTTTTCAATGCCTTGATACAGAACTGCTCATTTCACGAAATATTTTCAATTGCATGGTCTCATTGTTAACTAATAAAAGAAATGCAAAGGCTGAAATACAGGAGGTCAAATTATATATATGTTATACGCCTTGACCACCAAAGATCAGTAGATTTTATTTCTACCTACAGCATTGATATTTTCATTGCTTTGATTTTCTCAGCCACAAAACAACATAAAAAAGTTTTAGATAAAAAGCCACCTTTGGAGCACTTTAAAAAAGCTACAGATTTGGTTTGGAAAATGCAGTTAACAGATCAACAGCAGTAACTGTTCAACAGAATGGGTAACATAGATAAATTCGTAATTTTGGAATTATTTAAAGTACTGTGAAGACAGGTATGAATGGCCACTCTGTTCTATAAAAGCTATTATAGAATTAGGGCTTCTGGTCTTTTTAAAGATCTTTTTTCATATAGTTCAGCATAGAAAGGCAATGCCATCAAGCATGGTAATGTTATTCTTACAAAACCTATCAAGTATCATATTCAAAGTTTTATGAATTAAAAATTGAAATATACTTTTAAACAGCATATTTAGATTTATAAAAAGCTCAAATAAAATTGAAATAAAAATTGTCTTGAAAGGTCTCTAATCTATTTCAGTTTTCTCAAAATTGTGTTGCTGGGAAAGACTCATCGAAAGAGTCACCAAAAATACTCAAATTAAGGCGACACTTATTGATAGGTTTTTTGGTGCATGTTTTTGGTGCAGCTTTGCCTATATAGCATCCAGCACTTTATGGCAGACCAGTAATGGTGCAGGAAAACACATCAACATCAATTAAAGTCTATCATATTTTTTATCACTTGAACGGCTACAGTTTTCAAATGCAAGTTACAAAAAGAAAGTGACAATATTGGTAATAGTGTAGTGATTCAATTATAGGCCATTTTATACAATCCATCATTGCATTTTCTGCAAACCTACGTAATTCTATGTTCTTCATTCTCTATGCTAATTATTTTACTTCATTTTCAAACTAATACATCACACCATTGTTAGCCATCAACCACATCCTTTCCTAATTAAGTTTGCTAGTTTTCTATATCAAGACGGACTTTTGTAAATAATAGTCAGTCAGAAGAAATCGGGTTACACACTGCACAAACAGTTTGCATCTCTCTGGCTCCCTGTCCTTTGCACGTTAAATATGGTCGCACTGGTTGAAAACAGCATGTTTGTTGTATCATGAACATTATAGTCAATCATCAATTGATGTTCAGATGAACAACAAAACAGTTGTTAATAACATAGGTAATAACAGAAAGTGCTTACCATATGACTGGATTTTTTGTGTAAAGACATGAGCTGCCTCTGATGATTTTTCTGGCAACTTTTTTGGTGCTTTGTTGTCTCCACTTGCAGTGCTTGGTTGGTTTTCATGCTCTTCTTCAAGCTTGTGGATTTTACTTTGTAATAGTGTTATTTCAGAAGCAATCAGCTGACGAACATTTGACCTTGAAGCCAATTTGAGCAACCGTTGCAACTCTTCACAATCTTGTTTTAACTATTTAAAATTAAAATTTCCAGTTATATATATTTTAAATTGGAAAAATTGTCAACTTATGCATCTGGATAATACAGACAAAACATCTGGACAAAAGTAGATAATACAGCAACATGCTTTTGTTTCGAGTTAAACTCCTTCCTAATATGTTTTTTGTTTTTCAGTATATTACAATAAAACACGAAATCTTAGAAAAATGTGGCCTCGTTTTATAAACTTGTATTCTGGGTACAAGCTCTGCACTTCTACACTTTTCTGTGCTCTAAATCTGGACTTGATTTAATGAAAAATGGCCAATCATTATAATGATACTGTTACTGGTTAATGATAATATAATGTTACTGGAGTTACAACTGCAAACATATCTAAAAAGTAGTAACCACCAGGGGAACATGTGGATTGACAAAGAGTGAATCTAAAAATAGTTCTTTTGCAGCTCAATTAAATCAGAACTGAACTCAATATTAGTTTACAGTCAAATCTTGATATGGCAATCATTTTTGCAGTTGTTTTGTACCTATCTTTGTTACATTATACCAAGCTTTTATGCGCATTTCGTGGCCTGACAAGCTTCAGTATAGAAAACCTTTGAAAATGGCATTTTACACATACCTGCCTGCTCTAGATGAGTCATTGTGTAAAAACCCAATCTTACCCCACTCTGAAACTTTCTGTATCAATTTTCTGGTAACCAAGGAATATTTGAAAAATATTTCATCAAAATCAAAATTGGTCCCTTGGCGTGGTCAACATTTGAAGTTTTGGTGCACTGTTTATGTGAGTATACTGGAGAGACAGAATTTTTGTGTTGTTTTAGTCAGTTTCAGAATTGCAAAAGCTTTCATTTGATACCAAAATCTTTGTTGTAGGTCCTACAGAACAGAAACGATGTGCATCTGGGTGTGGTCCGGATGCCCCCAATTTTGGGAATTTTGCAATTTTTGACCCGTCATAACTCGGAAACGGGTTGACCTAGAACACTAAAATTTGAGGTGTAAGATTTTCTTATAGAGCACTACACCTACGCAAATTATCAGCGAAATCTATGAGGGTCACTGTGCAAATGAGGTTTTTCTGGGTACACTTGATATGGAATGTCCCTGCAATTGTTTCAATATTACTTTATTTCAATTGTTTCAATATTACTTTATTTCAATTGTTTCATTTACATGTTTTACTATTATTTCCATTCTATAGACTGATTACTATCATTTAACTATAAACAGATTAGATATATAATTCAATCCTTTGAATGGAATTCCTTTCTTTATGAGGAGGTTCCCTAGATATCAAGGCCCTTAAGCCATTTGCCCTCTTGTCCCCCTCCTGGTGGTCCTGCTTGAGATCGTCCTTTAGGTCTAAGGATGATCTTGTAAGGACCTTTTTAAAAATTATTTTCTAAATCATTTCTTTACTTGCCAAACCTTTATGAATAACAGCCACTGATAGTAGTGGTAGGTAAGCAGTTCAACTAAAATTGATGTTAACAGGAAAAGTGCCAGAAAAAATATGCAGACACTCAAGAATTGCTGAGAAGTTGATGCACACTCAAATGTGCACACTTGTCACAAATGCACTCTTGCATTCCCAGGTAATATCTTGTGCACTCCTGAGATCTTGCCAAATTCGAATTCAAATTTAATCAAATTTCGAAAATTCTTGCTGCAACGCTCAAATATATCCAGGCCTCTAAACGTTTTGAAAAAATTGGTGATACAAACAAAATATTTCCTCTCTCCTCTCCTCTCTCTAGAAATAGCTTTTATTTCTTCTTTTCTACATTGTGCACCTTTAAATTGTAGTTAATTATATATTTATTCTTTTCATTTATTTTGTATCTTTAAATTGTATATAGTTAATTTAGTTTTATATGTTGAATGTAAATTACCACAGGGTTGCTATGTATTCCCATGCCCCCTGTGGTATCGTCTGGTAAATTTGTGTATGTTTTGTAAAAATTTTATGTGAATTTAAAAAAAAAGATCTTGTCAAAAACTGCCATCAAATCCAGACCAGATGTTGATGGACACCAATATATCACATCAATCCTTGGTTCAAAGATTTCTTGCACTTTATTCCAGGGTGAAATCCATGTAAAGCTCACAACAGTTATATGCCAAATAAAGAATAGAAAAACAACGGGAAATTGCTATTCCACGCAGGATATCTCCAGCGCAAGCTACATGGAATACACACAGTGACTTCATCAAGTTCCACCTAAAGCTGCTCAGGTTTTAGGGGCACTGTCAGATACCAGTTGCTCAAAGCTAAATAGCCTTTGCTCCTAGGTCACAGCTAATGAATGATGTGGTGGGTTTCATTCATGAAATTCAGCTATGCTTTACGAAATGGATACATGATTTCCAACATGGCAGCAGGTTGGCTTAAAGGCTCTTTCAAGGAACCCTTATCCAGTCTTGATTTCGTTATATTTTAAAGAATAGACATCAATTTTTAAATAATTACTTAATTTAAAACTACACCTTTTTATTTTCTTCTTCCAAAAGAATCATCTTGATTCTTTTAGCAATGCGACTTGCGGACACGAAATTTTTCAAATACCTCTTCAATTTTGGATCTTTTTAGGTTATTGGATGTCACAACCTGATAACAGGCCAGCATGCAGTACAATTTTTGGCCACAAAACAAAATATCACTAACTTCCACCTTTGTCTCGCGGTTAGGCCCGAGCACGTTCCACAGATAACTGGACCACACATTACTTGCAACAATGAAAAAAGAATGCATAAGGCTCTAAAATTTTAGCTGCAGAGAAATGCGACTATTCAAAACAATTTACCTCCTCAATTGATTCCATGACTTTCACGATAAAAGTTACCCAAAATTTCACTGCAACAAATTTTCTTCTTACAAAAAGAAAACGCAACGCACATGACTTCTGACACTGAAAACGAGACTGAACTTTTCTGGAAACAAATCCAGGTTCCGAGGATCAACCTCGGGACAACCGCGGTTGTTTACGGTCAATCAAATATGTCAAATACTACCCTCGTTTTTTTATAAGAACACGAGCCACAAAATAAGTCGAAGGTTAAGAACAAATTGCACTTCAATAGGCTGAGCTATTGTAAAATGTAATGTTGAACAATGTTTAAAGACCCCTTTAAAAAATTTCATCTCAAAAGCGAGGCCTTTTTTGTCATGTAGGGGTGTTTTTCGATGAATTTTAAAATTTGTCGGCGAATAAAGGATGTCTCACGCACTTTGTTGGCAAACAAGGCCTTAACACCCCCTTAAAGCACACTATATAGCAATTAAACGCCTGAATTTCGATTAGCTGGTTCTTATAAAACAGTGTAAGCAACTTCCACTTCTGTGTTTCGATAAATAGTTGGTTAGGTGTTTTATAACACAGATTACAGATTAAAGAATTTTAAAAGCTGAGATCTCACAATGAGAGGGATTCCTCAAAATAAGTTAACATGAGAGTTTTTTTGGAAATAAGGGAATGATTTGCTTCGATTTAATGGCATTAAAAACACTGCATTACCAAGGCAATGATTCCAAATATTGCCTTCTCCAAATTCAACGTCTGTTTCTTCCTTCCATAAAACCAACTAAGCTTGGCGATACTGTTCCATTAATGAAGTAAGACAGTTGGAATTTTCGTACGAACGTGACACATGGCCACATTCGTTTACATGGCATTGCAAGTGAAATATTGAATGAATTCATTCGGATTTTATTTCAAACCACAAATAAATGGATTTTATTACACAATTAAATATTACCACACGATATCTATCTACAAATCACTTCAACAGTATTTTCAATGATTAAAAATTCTCCTTGAATTTCTTTACGACAGAAAGCACCTTGTCAAAGGAAGCACGTCGCAGGAAACACCCTTGCAGCTACGAAAAAGAAATATAAAAATTTGGTTATGTTAGCATGCCTTGTACAAAATTTAGTGTAAGAATGGAAAATGTAATATGCATGCAAAATGTTATGTAGAATGGATAAGAAAACTTTTAAAACATTGCAAAGAGTAAAAAAGACATTTTATAAATACAATTGCTAGACTTTCAAAATAAAATTGTTCATAGGACCTGGGCTCTGACACAAGTTGGAATGTGGGGGGGGGGGTCAAGCGAATATTTAGCACCCATAACAAAATATTTCGTGAGGGGGCCATGACCCCCGGCACCCCCCCCACCCTTAATCGGAGGCCCTGCAGGAACATGTAAGATTTTTGGAAACAATTTCAGATTTGAAAACATTGATTAAATTAGAACCTAATAGTTACTTTTCTTCAATATTTTTGCACTTCATTAAGAGAGTTTAGAAAATGTTGGTCTTATATTAAGTCTTCTTTAAAGGAAAAATGATGCAAATTCTTTAAAACGGTGATAATTTCCCGACTTTCATCCATGGTGTTTTCTCTGTACTTTTATGCAGTTCAAGGTGCATAAAGAATTTTCCAAAGAGATGCAAGATATGAAGTAAAATTTAACAAGGACTAGCACAAAACATAAAAAAGAACACGAGGGATACACAGGCATGGATGTTCTGTGTGGGTGGGATCCTGCAACCAGAGTATAAAAAGCAAAACATTGGGAAAATGATGAAAGGATCCTGTGTGGGTAGGATCCTGCAACCAGAGTATAAAAAGCAAAACATTGGGAAAATGATGAAAGGCTGAATTTGATATTGAAGACGAGATGAAAACAGTTCAAAATATGTGAAAAAACGGTTTTTACTTACAGTTAACTCAGCTGACAAGGGTGTTCCTTTCTGATTGAAATCACGCACATCTTTCAAGTACTGAGACCAGAACTTCAGGAACCAGCTAAAACGAAAATTTGTAGAAATTTAAACTTAATGGTATATTGTTGCCAACAGTGTTAACAGCTAAATTCAATGTATTTAAAACATAACAATTGCTTATCATATTGATACAAGGTATGTGTAATGATCCATAGCCATTGTCCTATTTGTATGTGTCAACAACCCATATCATTTACGTCATTACATGCTACATTAACCAGTGATAAGTCAGTAAGAGTTAGAGCACTGGACTCAGAGTTACAAAGTACAAGTGTCTTGATCATTATATGTCTCTCTCTCTGCTCGGATCCACAAACGTAACATATGCAATACTCTGATTTCACAGCAGGTAACAGCTAACATTCACCTTCTAAGAAGACTATCAACATAATTGAACATAAACTAATTAAAACTCAAGTGCTGGTGTCATCTACAAAATCATTGTAATTGTACAGGTGAACTAAAAAATTAGATAAAACTTGAACACACATTGTCACATCTTCTTCAAACGGATCATATTCCAACCACCATTCGTCAGGCGCGTAGAGAATAACGCAAGCCATCAAGGCGGCTTCTTCTGCAGTCATCCGCTCATTTGGATCTCTCTGCAGAACTTGATGAATAAGTCTGCCAACAACTCTGTCATATCTGTATAACATTACAAAAACAATAAAAGCTTTGTTCATGGTTTTGCAATATCATTAAAGTCGCCTCGTCGCAAAAGGCAATGATGATATCAAATGAAAGAGCAGCGGGACGTTTGGGAATCTCCTCCCTTCACTTACATAAAAGCTAAATTTTTTCAATCACCTATCATTTTGATCAGGTTTTGCGAGACCTCTGGGCATATTTTTTGATAATTCCTAATCTGAGAACATTGCTGGAAAACAAACCACAAGACAACAGCTTCTACACCTAGGAGAATTTTTCTACATGTACATGTACAAAGTTTTTCGATATACTGTACGAGGATACAGCAGGATTGTGTATTAAGAAATTACTTATTGTTTTTTGTATTGATTTGAAGATACCTCCACAATTCTTTCACATCATCTTCATTGTAACTTCTGTTCTCTAACCTCCCATCCGTGAATGGGTTGCTTTCTCCAAATATTTCAAATGCAATCGCACCACATGCCCAGACTAAAGAACAAAGGTGAAATTATTTTAAAATCAAATGCATTTAACTAACTGATTATATCTACATAGGTACTAAGGAGTTTAAGAAATTGAATCTTAACTAGCAGTTAAAGGTAGTGGCTAATGAACTACACCTTCTACGCTGAACAACTTTTTGATGTACAATAAGATTTAATTGCAGCTGAGTGTGTGCTGGATCTAAGAAACAGTGGGGTTAATTATACAGATAAACAAAAGCCTGTGAACAGTCAAGAAGCACTGCTATATTGTGAAATTGCAAGAGTAGCTAGAAAAAGAAAGTAACCAGTCACGAAAAAAAAAGGAATTGCCAAAAAACTGCTCATCGCAAGATTGAACAAACTAATTTGCTAAGAGAGCAATTTTAGAACATCTTTAAACTCACGATCAGCTTTGGAATAGTCAATAAATCTTCCCTGTCCAGGTACTGCCATTGCAACCTGTAAGAAGATGGATTTTGACATTAAAATTCTATAAAAAAGCATTGGTCATCTCTGGTGTTCATGTTTATAATGTGGTTTCAAATTCAATTTGAAAATTAGGTTGAAAGAACACACGATAAAGCTAACAGCAAACTTTACACGTATTTAAGTATTTGATTAAATAGAAAACCTTTAGCTGTGAATAGGCTAAGACCTTTTAAAAATTGCAGAGAAACTTTCACAGAATCTTTTCTAAAAATTAATTACAACATTCAGATGTCAAAAGACTTCCTCAGAAAAAGAATGGCAAATAAGAGCACACACCTCTGGAGCCATCAATGCGCTGTTCCCGCCACGATCAACATGGCGCGTCTCAAAAGGAAGTTTCAACTCCAAAGTTTCATCACCAAGACAGCATCCAAAGTCTGTTATAATTAGTTTTGGGCAGTCACCAGCAGACGTGTCAAGCAAAATGTTGTCCGTTTTCAAATCTCTATGAGCCTCATGGTTTTGAACCAAATGAGCAACACCTTCAAAAAGCTGAGCCAAAAGGAGTTTTCTTTCTTTTAAAGTTGCATTTGAATCGGTGATGTACTGTCTAAGGGTACAATTATACTTGGGCATAATCAGACACAACGTCTTATTTCTACCCAAACCATCAGCAAAGTGGCGCTTTGGTAAGGCAATTGGATATGATTCAAGAGCATCTGATGGACAAGGGGTTTCTTCAACCAGAGCTTGCAGAACTCGAATGACATTAGGATGTTCAGGCAAGGATTCTTGTTTCAAATCGACTGCTGAAATATGAAATGTGCTGCAACTGAGATCTTTAAACAATTTTATCCTGTGTGAATTTTTGAAGGAAGAGAGAGTAAACTAAATAGGAACCAGCTCTTCAAAGCTCCAGGCATAAGAATAACAAGGTTTGGTCACATCAAGAGGAAGGACGAGGGCACTGCGTGATAAGCATAGCTTCTCGGTATCCTAAAAAAGCTACTTTCGAAAGCTAGGACGCAGCAAATGAAAAATTACAAAAATGGAGTACTGATGAATAAGGAAATAAAAAAATATACCATCATTTTTTTCTATTTCTGTATTTGCAAGGACACGACATTCTTGTGAAAACCCCTAGCGAAAAATGAGAAAATTCAACAAGAAATAATAAAGAAGCATTGCAAAGCATAAACATCTTTGACAGTCAAGTGTCAAGTCAAGAAAGGCGTATGGTAAAATGACGAGGTAAATTTCAATTCCTAGGCTATTTTCTGGCTACCGAACACTAATTATAATCTCCTAATTTGAGATAATAGTTATTGTTTTATTTTCACATTTGATGAGTAATTTACCATTGTAAAATTTACCAGTGTAAAATTTGAAGAAATCGAAGGTGGCAGAGGCTGATAAAAGCCTTTGAAAATGAGCAGGTTGGCAAAAACATATCATCACAAAAACAAAAGCAAATTTAATCAAAATCTATTGTGGTTCAGTGTAACTAATCGATGAGAATAACTATATTTATCTAATCTCATATGTTATATAATAACAAACCATGCAGATATTTTGATAGAGAAGCATCTTCTATATGACACAAAATTCAATACATTGCATAACAATGGCGGTTTTATGGGGGGTCCAAGGAGGCCATGGCCCCAGGCCCCGTGCTTATGATAGCCATAAGGGGCCCCCAACCTAAGAAAATAGATTGAAATTGTAAAGAAGGGGCCCCGCAGATGTTTTTGGCCCAGCCCCCGCAGTCCCTAAAACTGCTACTGTTGCATAATGTAAACAAATATTAACATTTCATTTAAATAAATTGCTCACATCCTTCTTTGTTTTGATTATCAAGTTTTAGATTACTTTACATACAGATTATCCATAAGCCACTGCATAGAAAAGAATGAAGCATTAACAAACCTTCTTAAGTGCATGTCCATTTGAAGCATGTTCATAATTGAACATTATCTTAACTGCATACTGTGGAAAGAGCAGAAAAGAGCTTCAAAAAAAACTCGGGAGATTGTTTTAAAAGATCATATCAAATACAGATCTCAAATTAAATCTCAATGAATTCATATAGTTGTATAAAGTTTGCAAAATCACATGATTTATGTTGAAAAACCATCACAAACATCATGTCTGGAAACAAGCAACTGACTAGGTATTTTGCCTCACACTAATGATCACCCTCGCTTCAGCAAATTATTGGCACCAGGCTATTGACTGCCCTAGCAAAAGCTTGTCTCATCCGCAACAGCATTTACAGAAAAGCTACGTCCTACAAATGGTTGAAATCCTGAGTAAAATATCAAGTTGCTTATGAAAACAAAGCATTATTGCTCCCATATTCATGCTAGATCAAACATTGTTTCTAAAAACTAATGGTGACCCTGCATTTAGAAAACCGAAAGCTAGACTATTGCATGCAGTAGGTACACCGATACCCCCATCAGGCCCTGGAGGATTTTCCCCCTAACAAATGTTGTTGGATGGGATGATTGGCTTTGCAAGCTTTTCTAGGCAGTAGCTGGCCATCCTGGTAAAAATTTATTCGCAAAAAGGCCTGCAAATAACAAATATCATTTATCTGGGCTTTAATTAAAAAATGTCTGACAACCATATACCTTATAAAATTGGTTTTGAACGCTACTGCATTGAACTCTCAAAAACCAAAAAATAATTGGTGCATGTGAAACATCTTAAGATGGGAAACAATCTGGCTCATTTCAAAAGCAATGACCATCAGGGAAATTTTTGTGCAACATCTACACTTACGTTCTAAAAGAATTGGGACACCTTCGAAGACATTTTATGGGATAAATTTTGAAAGACTTTTTAAAAATCTTTTGTCATAAAACAAATAGGGCAGCTAATTCCATGAAATTTTGGCAAGATATTGTTTGTAATTTGAAGCCTCTCATATTGCCCCAAAGATAGAATTGTCAAGGTCAAGTGACTTTGCCATAATTAGGTCATTAAACTTCATGCATATTTTGCTGTTATTTTCAAAGGATTCTATGTTTTCATGGTTTTGATTGAAAGTTGAAGCTTTTTTTCACCTTTTAACTATATTATTGAGATACGCAGGCCTTTGTTTTTTGGAAAAAGACTATCCACATCTGAAAAAGCTTTCATTGCGAAACGGAATCCAATGCAATGGCAAAGTTCTTTTAATCGAAGGTGTCCCAACACTTTTGAAATGTGAGTGTATTTGTACAACTATGATGAGACATTAGTGACTAAATTTGTTGCTAAAAGATGGGATACCTCTCTGTTGTCATATTCTGCAGCATAAACTGCAGCAGCTGATGAAGAATTTCCTAATCTTTCATTCAAAGACAATTCCTTCAATGAAGTTGGAGCATTGACTTTTGGGTTCACTTTATCTTCAATCTATGAAATAGCAAGAATAAATTGGTTTTCTAACGATAAAAAAAGCAAGAAAGTTGCAACTAAATACAGACAAGTACCAAGGGCCTGATTGCAAGGGGACAAGCTTTGCTATTTTTCTTGATATATATATAGAAATTCAAAAGTTTTCAGCTCTAGTGTTTTCAACAATAACTAAGAAACTCAGCTGGCTTGTATAATGATCTTCCCATACAAATGCAAGGTTTGACAAAATGTATGCATGATTTGCACACTTTATAAAAAAGGCTGGAAATGAGCCTTGCATAACAAAGAAAAGGCAGAGAAAATGGAAAGTACTGGTACTTGATTTTTCAATAATTCTTGAAAGACCTGACTTGGCCATTTTCATTTACTGCATTAAAATCACCAACAATTTTTACATAACTTAGCTGCATAAAAATCATTGATCAAGCCAGTTCCCTACTTCCATATTTCTTGCCTACCTACAAAGCATGTATCTTTGAACAGATTCTGAGTGCCAAGAGGAATTATGGCCTCCAAGAAAACTGAAACTGGCAACTAACTTTTTAAAAGCATTAACGTGAGTAATAACACTGCAACAGGCTTATTAGCAATATTATAACTACTGTAGTCTATGTAGAATTCAGCACAAACAAACATTGCAGGACTTATCACTAACTTGACTTATACATCAATATCACAGACAACAGGCCTTTCCTGGAGACGCGGGCTATAGCCTGCGCAAACCCTAAGCAAAAAAGTTTTGCGAGGGCCATTTTCACCCACACAGTTGTTTATAATAACACTCTCATTGAATCCGCTTCGTCACACTCTCCAATGTTTTAACTACTTACTGCTATATATCAGGGTATTCATAAATAAAGTTTTGTCAAAGAGATATATGGTATTTACAAATATTGTTATAAAAAGGAAATTTCCATTTCTTTTGACATCAAATGTTAACAAACTAAAGTATTACCTGTTACAACTAGCAATGGAAAAGGAAACGGTTGTGCAGGAATGGAACAACAGATAGCGTAAAATAGCAAAAAAAGGGTGAATGAGAATTTTTACACAACACTGTCCAGTATGAAATTTGTGTTACGAAAACACTCATTTTTTATAAGAAACACGCTATAAGAAACGACAACTGGGCAATCATTTTTGCTTTTTGACTATTCAACAAGGTGAGAGATAAGTGGTTGGGATTTGTCAAAAATATAGAATCAATCATTCACCCTTTTTAAACTCTCTCATTACTTTCAATCCGCATTTCTGCTTCCCTTTATGCTTTGAGGTTTATGTATATGTTATTCGCCGATTTTTATCATGTTATTTTATCGCTCTTCCCTGCTGTTTTCAGATTGATATTCTATGAAAGAAGGAGTACTCCAAGTTGATGTTCATTTCTTATAGAAAAGAAGTGTACTAGTTATTCTTTCTTGAATTTTCAATGTACTTACATGAGACTCGTTTTTTAATATCATCTGCATGCATCACTCATGTCAAGTTTGCATTGAATTTTCATTGACTCGGAATGTTCTGTGTAGAGAAATGATTGATTTGAGTATACCATACCATCTCACAATGGAAAATTCTGAGCTATTTCAGAGGTAACCCTAGAATGTAACATCTTTCTTGATGACATACAATGATGATGATGATGATGATGATGATGATGGTGATGATGATGACGAAAATGATGATGATGTCATAGCTTAATCAATGGCAGAAGAAATAATGGATTGATTTACAAACATTAAAAAAGATAAAAGGCTTTACATTAAAAAAGATAAAAGGCTTGGATAAAATCCTTTGCTAGCATACAATAGACTATATATAATACCTTTGTTACTTAAATAATAATTCCTTTAAAATTACATACAATTAATTATTGGACAGTATCATAGAGGTCAAGAAATTATAACAGCTTTGAGGTACAAACCATAATAAACATATCCAAAAGCTCCAAATAAAGTTGTAAGCCTGGTGACCTTTTGCCATTCTGACACTGTACTACTACCTATATAAGAAAAAGAACCATCAAACACGATATTTTAATTTTCACATTTCTATAATATGACAAATATGACTAAGTTACGTTTCTGTGAGTTGTTTTCCTTTCTGAAAATTGCCTTTCAGCACCTTGATATTATAAAACATTTAGCTTTTCGTTCTGAAACAAGCAAAAATGAATTCTTATAATGAGTTTAGTTTGTATAAAAAATGCGTGTAGATTGGGGGGGGGGACACCTCTTCACACTAAACTGCCAAATAGAAATCATGCCGGTTGTCAATTGCATACTTACCAAATGCACTTCGACTGCAGTTTTGCCAAAGAAGCCTTTGAAACCCTTTTATGCATCTGTAAAAGCTGATGCTATGAGACTCGCTACAACTTCTGTACAGCGAAGATTGTCGCCCAACTGCAGCTTCCACGTGAGGCCTACCGACAAACTCGGGAGAGAAAACACTCTGTAGAGTCTCCTGTTCTTGCCATGACTGTGGTTTTAGTCGAGTGGGCAACCGGACAAGTTCACGAAAAAGTTTTCTTGCAGCTTTGAAAGCCATCTCAGTGCTTCAATCAAGGCACAGGCAAAAAGTCCTACATTTTCACGTCGTTCCTTTTCCACCACTGTGCAATTTTGATTGTTTTGCTTCTAATTATATTTCATTGCGTCATAGCCTCTGATTCGCGTTGAGACGAAAAACCAATGATATAGAAGAGCCGAGCCGAAGGCGCTAGATGTCCAACTCACAGGTCCGCTGTGAGGTAAATTTGTTTATTTCCGCCATTTCGAATAGTGGCAAAAAGGGACTTGCTCCATACTGAGCCCTTATAAATTTGGTAAAATTAGGGATTGATTCCATTCACTTCTCTTTCGAATATCGATGTGACATTTCGTGAGTGGCCTCAAATTGCATTTAAATTTATGAATTGAAGTTAATATTGGAAAAATAAGCCGTCGTTCGCAAATTCCAAGCATTTACAGTCGCGGTGCTTGCTGTAGTGTTTTCTGTCTCGTCGAAATTCCAGAAAAAAATGATTGATCTGTTTTAAAACTGATCCAGCAACAATGTTTAGCCAGTCAATGCCCAAAATTTCTTAACACATTTGTACAAAGATGTGATTTGGTTACTTTTTCTTTGTTTGTTTACAGAAACTGCTATGAAATATCTAGGCCAAACTCTAGAGAAAGCCGAGAATAGGTCATAATTCATTGCTTGGATATTAATAACAGATTCTGGATATGGTAACCAATTTTTGATTTTATATATTCATTGATATTTTTAAACTATTTCAAAACCACACTCAGGGGCGGTCTGGCGTCAAAATCGCAGGGTGGCTAGAAAACCCAAAGGCCCGGCTTAGGGGGTGGCGGGAAAAATTGAGCCACACCCACTAAAAATGTGGCTAAGAATACGATTGATTCAATAAAAATTGATAATAAAGCAATACGCTAAACAGCAGCAGTATATCGACTTTAATTCGTAAATTCAGACCCAATTGGATCCATACCTTGCCTCTCGTGTAAACAGGTTTTGAAATCCCATGTAGAGTTAAGAATCAAGATCAAAACTTATTTAAATTCTCAGCGTTTCAACTCTTTTTGAAGAAGTGCAAATGAATCAGCAAATTGGCCAATAACTTGCTCGTAATCAAGTGGAAAGTTTTCTCTTCTTTTGAAATTATCAGTAGCGCTGAATAATCTTTCAAAGGAAACTTGGGTGTAGCTAAGTGTCATCAAGCATTTATACGCGTTGTAGAGGGAAGGGTATGCTGCTAGGTGCATGTTGTATTCACTAATTTTTTTATAGAAACCAGTACACGGGCCGAGTCAGCCTGGGCCGAGCCGAGTCAGCCCGGACCGTATTGTTTACTAATGCGCATACGAGTATTCCCATATGAACAATGCAAGCATTAAGCCAAATAAGTAATCATTCTGTTTTTCGGACCATTTCACCTGTTTACACGGGAACGGAACAATTGCACACTGTTCCTCTTTTCGTATCAACGTGCGCGCAACCCCTAAGGGACTCATTTTTTGGAATGGGACGATATGAAACGGAACGGGGCCAAACAGACAATGCAGCGATAAACATATAAGTGGCCCCTCAGTTACTACCTTATTCTGAAAGTGGCCCTTCTGGAAATAAGGTTCCCTGTTCTAAACGGAAAGTGGGTCTAAAGTTGGTTTCCAAACGCAATTGTGAGTCAGCCCGGTTTGAGTCAACTGCCAACTCTGATTCTTTCTTGAATAATTTTGAAAGGTTTTCTGCCGAACGTTACGATTCTTTTCACTTACATTTTTTACCTCCCCTTCATTTCTCTTCCTGCTCTCTCCAATTGTTTCTACTGATTTCCTTCTTATTTCTTCAGCTTTTTCCATTTCTGCTGTTTGTTTCTCTTTAACTTGCTGGGATGCTGCTTGCTGATCATCAATTGCTGCATCAAAAAGCTCCCTTATATTGCAAGGAGAATATGTTTTTCTGTGTGCTCAGGATTAATTCCACTTGCACTTTCTTCTCTTCTATTTTTGGACTTTAATTGGTGACAATATTCTGGAAGCGATCTATCACTGCTTTGTAGGATAAACCAAGGATACCACGAATTTTCCCGGTACGCCCTTGCTTTGAGTTATCTTTTACAAAGAACTTTCGAAAGGCAATTATCATTATTCGCACAGAACTAAAATTGAGTACAACCATCAATTGTCCTATCGAAAGAACGTTTGCATAAAAAGTTCGCCGTGGTTATGGTTTCGGCGTCATAGATTTTACAGTTTAGTTTAGCTTCACCATTAAATTGAGAAAAACTATATCAATGATGTATCAGATTTCCATCAGTTTTTGCTAATTCCCCGTAATTGTATAATTTATTGAATGGTTTTCCGAAATTTTGAAAAACGCTCAAGACTTGTGATTAACCAAGAGTTATAACTAACGCAAATTAGTTTCTTCACTTATGACTAATGCGAATTATTTCAAATGCCTGATATCGAATAGCTGAGAGGGTTCTCACTTTTGAAGCATTAACTGAGTACAATCCTATGTTGTTTCCATTTAGAATGGTTGTATCTGGATAAGATTATCGATGCGTTGACAGATGGGTATGGGAACGTTCACATATTACCTAATCAAAGATGGAGGGAGGGGGTTCACACAAATTTTTACGGTCATAATGATCAATAAATGATGCAAATTAGATGATAATTTAGGGGGAAGAGGATTTTTCCAATGTTGCCTATATTTTGTTATGTAATTTGTGCATGTTCCTTTCTTGAATGATAATGCTCTTTCCAGGGCCTATTTTAGTGTGCAGTATTACACACTTTGTGCAGTATTAATTTAAAAACGTGCAGTATTGATTTCGAAAATGTACAGTATTAAATTTTGGGATTTGTGAAAATGTCTATTTGCGGCTATCCCAGATTCCTGCTTTGTTCAAAAAATGTGAATTTTCATCGTCAGTTCGAAATAGAGTTCATGTTTTGTAATTCTCGTATAACCATCGGAAAGACTCTCTTATCAAAACTTAAAACAAAGCGAAATGCCCACAACCAAAAACAAAACATCTCCTGTAAACTTCAGCATTGCTGTCAACTTCGTAATTTGAAATTGTCGAAGATAAAACATTCAGTAATAATTTATCAGTTGCCGTATGATGCTCTGGGCATCTAGCAGAAATTCACTTAACTTAACTAAAAGAAAGATAAAGAGCCTAATAAAACTTTTTTGTTTTACTGTCCAGACAAAACATGAGATAGTGACTCCGTTTACAAGAGATAAATGACTATGTTTCTATTCAGGTTTTGTAGCTTCTGTTTGTTTTTTTGCTGTTTTGAAATGTTATTATTGATTGTGTAAATTATCGTCTATCTGTTTGTGATTTCTCCGTCATGGCCTATACACGTGTTCAAAATTCGGGGTATTTCCTTGCTACACTTGCATGGCGAGTTACCTGGGGTTTGCTGGGGTTTGCATTGATTGCAACAACAAAATTTCCTATAAAAAAATATGATTATAAATGTGCGGTATTGAAAATTTCTGAAAAATGTGCAGTATTGAAAATTTCCTAAAATAGGCCCTGGCTCTTTCCTTGGACCATCAAATATCCCTTAATAGTTAAGTCTGCTCTAGGAATGATGAAGGATAAACAATTTAAACGTCCTGTGACAGGCTATTCAATTTTGCATTTCAACTAAGAACTCAAAGGCATCTTGATTTTGTATTTGAAGCGCTAAAACTCCTGCGTTTTGTACTAAAAAGAAATTTTGTCCAACTTTATTCAAAAGTCGTGTCTAGTGACAAACGCGGCTTTTTATCCCCTGACTAATGACCAGCCTTTTTGTCCCCTTCCTTCTCCTTGTTTGGAACTTGGCAGAAACACCTCAAAACTGGAATTCTACAGAAAGAGTCTGGAAAATATGAAACTCCTACAAGTATTAATGGAAGATTAAGCCGTATGTTTTGAAAATAACTTATTAAAGTATTCCAATCTTTCCTCAAACTTAAATATTTTTCGTTACTGAATAATATCTGTGTTTTTTCTTAAGAGATTCTTTGTCCTTTTTACCATGTCTTTCTCATACAGAAGGAGCCCATCAATCTGCAAAATTATCAATTTGCACAAACGGGTGGCATGAGGATCCCTTAGAACCCATTTTTCCAAATGATGTTGTCAGATATCTTTTTGAAAAGTCAATAGTTTTATAAGCACATGTTCAATGCCTGACCATAAGTACGCATAATTGTACGGGCATCATACTAGGCTAGTAGGAGCGAAAGCCCCTCTTTATTTTTTCAAAGAAACGCTTTGAAACTTTCAAAAATTCATAAATTACCGTTTGATGAGAATGAAGTCATTATTTTGCTAAATTTCAGAAGATTGCGTGTTTAATCGATAATAGTCTCGTCTCCTACGCTAGAAAGAGAAGTTGCTTTCTCTGTAACATCTTAGAAGATAGTGTCGCGCTTACTGAAAAATGGCTTTAGGCTTTGGGCTTTAGTCTAACTTTCAAAATCTGCAAACCACTTTACATCATTTGACACCTAAATATTTAGCCACCCTTTCAGAATTTCAAATACAGTTAATTTGACTGAGAATTTTCTTCCCAAAGCAAATTGTGAAAAGAAAAGACATTAAATTTCGGCATTTCCTGAATTTCCAAATAGCGTGATTTGAAATATTTTTCCAGGAACAACAGGGATAGCGCCACCGGGGGTGCTTGGGGGTGGGGGGGGCAGGAGCCCCCCCCAAAAATTCATTGAGCCCCTCTGTCGGCACTTCAATTTTTGAAAAATCGAAGCAATGTCGGCACTTTCATAACTTCCACTTTGTGATTTTTTCATTTCATTTTCATTGTTTGATTTTTTTTTCATTTTTTTTCATTTTTTGAACTGGAGTTACCACAGCGGAAATGATGTAATATTAGATCTTTGTTGGTGGTTCACTCACTGTCGGCACTCCCCAGCTCCCCAGCATTTCTTTTCTGGCGCCATCCCTGGGGACAAGCCCCCGTTTTGCTTGCAATATAATTCCCCCATTCCGTCATACATTACATGAGAGTTTAAGAATGAATTATGACATAAATTTACTAATTTGATAACGGGCTATGCTCGAAACTTCGTTTATTAATTCGTCAATTTGTTCAAGCATAATTCCTAGTTTAA